CCCTCTCCCACTCCCCCGCTTGTGTTCCCTCTCTTGTTGTGTCTCTCTCTGTCAATAAATAAATAAAATCTTTAAAAAAAAGTGGGAGAGGGAGAAGCAGGCTTCCCGCCGAGCAGGGAGCCCGATGCGGGGCTCAATCCCAGGACCCTGGGATCATGACCTGAGCCGAGGGCAGACGCTTGACCACTGAGCCACCCAGATGCCCCCACAAACATTTTAGATATAGGATGCACTCACTCTTGTTACCCATCAAGGGCACCGTTTGGAAGGCTGAAGAGAGACAAGCCGTTGAGGTACTTTTCCCATCACTACTCTCGTCCAACAGCACACAACCGAGACAGCTGGTGAGAGTGGCATCTACATTGTCATTTTAGACACTGGTTCTTGAAGCTGTGGATCAGAATCCCCTGCAGGGCTGGTGAAAACGGATTGCTGGGCCCCATCCCCAGAGTTTCTAATTCAGTCCGTCCGGGGTGGGGTCCGAGAATCTGCATTTATAGCAACTTCCCAGATGAGGCCAATGCTGCTGGTCCTGGGACCACGTGGTGAGGTTCTGGATCACTGCCATCGAGTCACCTTTCTTGAGGAAACCACAATGCCCTCCCTTAGCAGTCATGTGAATGTGCAGACGGCAAGAGATGTTACACCCCTCCCGTGGCCTGCCAATCACTTGCACACATGCACCTGTTTTTGGGGCGGCCATGTGTGACTTGCTGTTACAGCCAAGTGTTACAGAGCAAACAGAGTTACGGAGTGTTGAAGCATGTGGACTGTTTTAATGGGCTCCTTAAGATCCTCGACTGCTACCGCTATGATGTCGTATTTTATCCAACCACATGCGGTGGACTGGACGAATGGCACGGCCCCATCTTAAATTCAGGGAGCTCAGGGTCCCGAAAGGGACGTGACCTGCCCTTGTTGGACTCTCCATGCTAGGCTGAGCCTCACCTCCTTTGCAACCCATTTCCAGTTAAGGGTGTGGAGGCCACTGAGACCAAAGTCAGGCAGGAGGAAGTGGCGGTGCCTGAGGGCAAACCAGGTCATCACCGGATTCCTTACTTTCCTTAAGGACCCCTGGCCCCTGACCTCACTGGTCCTGGATGCTGTATTTTTGGAATTCCTGTTTCTGATGGATTACTACAGTTTTCCTTTGTCCTCTGTGGCTTTCATCCTTGCAAGCAGTGACTGCACATCATGGCTCAGATGCAGGCATGCCCCCGACAGCTCCGCGGCCGGTCTCACGCCTGCTCAGAACTGCTCCCGCTTCAAGAATGTGTAACGGTGCCCTTGGGGGACCTGCTGCCATCCAGCAACCAGGTGAGGGAGTCGCCTGCCATCAGGCGGCAGTTCCAGAGGGCACAAGGGCATGGCAAGCACCCCCTGGCTGGTGGGTCCTGGCACCCCACACTCCTCACAAAGAGCTGCACCCACATCTGTCTTTCTTTGGCACAGAGGGCCCGGTTTGGCAAGCCTCCTCAGGGCGATGCCAACCCTGTATTCTTCCAGGGCCTACTCAAGAAATGAGTTCAGAAATCAGTCCTCTATGTTCCAAGGGCTTCTCCCTTTACATCCAAGATGCTGGGTGGACAAGAGACTAGTCTGAAAAGCCTATCCTTCTATACTTAGAGAAATGCCCTCAAAGTATATACCAGCGAATCTCAGAAATAAATCAGCTTTTCCAATGTCCCAGGGGAACGTGACTCGAGGAATTCCTCTGCCCACAGCAGTTTGGTGGCTTCACGGGTCAACATTTCTCAAAGACATCCTTCAGCATTTACTGTGTAGCCTTGGGCCAGGGACCTAACCCCTCTGTGCCTCAGTTTCTTCATCTGTAAAATGGGGGCAGTCATGTACTTGCCTCCTAGGCTTACTGCAAAGGTTAAGTGAGTGTGTGTGCCCAAATTTCTTCTAAGGATACTTGGCAGAGGGAGCCACAGGGTCTAACTCCAATAATAATGCCAGCTCTTATTACGGTAGCCACAAACTCTGTGCTGGCCTCACTCATGTCACTTAGAATTTTCAGTTATATGCAAATGAATGAAAGAAGAATCTCCTTCCACCCAACGATCCAGCACACACACAGTGTTTTTCCTACAGAAAGGGAAAGCAGGGCCCGTGCTCCCTAACCGGAGGGCACGAAAGGATGAATGGGGCCTTGCAGGGTCTACCCAGGTCAAACTGCCTTTCAGAGGAAAGCTACAGTAGACATGGTCAGACCCAGCAAGCGGATAAAACAATCATTGTCCAAACAAAAGAAGCTGCACTGCCAATCCCACACTTACTTCCAGGACTGTCCATTGTTCGACAACAATAGCATCATAGCCCTGCATGGTTTTGCTATCTTCTGTGGAAACAGCTTCAAAGATGAATACTCCATCTGTCAGGCCGTGGAAGGAATCTGTGGAAAAAGAAAAAGGGGGGTGGGAGTTCTGTAAACCGTCTGTGGCAGAAGCCTTACAAGCAGCAAAAATTTTCACTGCATTCATTAATAATCCCAATCAGAACATCTTTTCAGCATGTTAATTAAAGAAGGCACACACAGCCATAGAGTCTAGCCCCATCAGAATGAATGAGACTCATTTACCTCGCAGTTCTGAATAATATCCTTGATTTTATGAGCCCGAATTTCATTGCTAGCAATCACCATTTGATTTCACGCGTTTACCTTCTTTTTCACGCTCCAACGTCAGGATGCACTGGGGAGAACTTATTCAGGGTAAAACACAGTCATTTAGAGACAGTTTTTAGAAGAAAACTATATTTAGGTAGAAGAGATTTTTAAGGGGGGACAGATGTAACACGCCAGATCCGGGCTTGTCAGATGCATTCTAGATGCGCAGATTCTTGGACGTTCTCAGCATGTGGGCAGCTGTACAGACAACTCTTCAGCTAGCTCTTGTCAAGAGGCAGAATTTGCGGGAAAGGGGAATTTTCCCAAACGATTTACCACTGAAAATGTTTCCTCCGGCATTGCTCTAGTCAATGTACCAGGTCCTGAGTTCCGCACAACTCAACAAACTTACGTTAAACACTTAACAGGATTCAAGAAGGATTCATGGTCTTAGGCAAGGAGAGTATAAAGAAAATTATACCAGGGTCCCCGCCACAGTAGAAATCATTATGGGGGGTGCTTTCTACCCCTCCCCTGCCCCTTTTTAATGGCTCCTAAATGCCCTAAATTCACTTAGATAAGAGACAGTGGGAAAGAGGACTGGCCAGAGAAGCAGGCGGTTTGGATCCATGCTCTATCATGAAAAGGAATGTGACCCCTTTCAGAGGCTTGGTCTCTCATCTGCGAAATGGGATTGAGGATACAGAATCACTCCTGGCCCCTAGATTCTATGCTACAGATCAGGCACACTGCTGTGTACTGAATTGTGTCCTCCCTCCGCCCCCCAAAGTCATTTGAAGCACTAACTTCCAGACTGTATTTGGAGAAAGGGCCTTTAAGGAGTTAATTAAGGTTAAATGAGGTCATCAGGGTAGACCATTATCCGATTAAGACTGATGTCCTTACCAGAAGAGGAAGACACCAGAGCGCGCCCCCCCCCCCACTTCCCTGCACAGAGGGAAGGCCAGATGAGGATCCAGAGAGAAGAGTGGCTGTCTACACGTTAGGAAGGGAGGCCTCAACCAGAAACCGAATTTGCCAGTACCTTAACCATGGACGCCTAGACTCCTGAACTACGAGGAAATATATGTCTATAATTTAAGCCATCCAGCCTGCGGTATTTTGCTATGGCAATACACATAGAAATACGTTTAATGATACACCATTTTTATTTTAAAAAGATAATGCACATAATAATATGATTTTTTTTTTTTTTTTTTGTATCAGAAAGGGAGGTAAACTCAGAAAGTCCTTTGAATCACACTGGAGTTCTGGAACTGCCAGCATTTTCCAGAAGCCACAAAAAAACAAGACCAGCAGATGTAAATACTTAACAAATATTTAGCCTCTGTCTTCCAACAGACTTCATAAACAAAATCCAAAGGCCATTAAGTGAGAAAATTATTTGCAACAGCAAAGATAAATAAATAAATGGCTAAGCTTAACATTTTTTATATGTGTATAAAAAGCTTATGGCACTTAAGGGAATTTTTAACTGCATGATCTTTCTGGAGAGCAATTTCATGATGTCTCAAGAGCCTGAAACAAAAAAGTCCATCGTCTTTGACTCAGAAATCCTACCTCTTTCAGTCTATCTAGGTAATAACCACTAAAGCCATCAAATATTTATCTACAAACTTTACTTATAAAATTACTTGAAAACATAATCTAGGGGCTCCTGGGTGGCTCAGTTGGTTAAGCATCTGACTCTTGGTTTCAGCTCAGGTCGTGATCTCAGGGTCCTGGGATTGAGCCCCGTGACAGGCTCCACACTCAGCATGGAGTCTGCTTGAGATTCTCTCTCCCTCTCCCTCTGTCCCTCCCACTCATGCACTCTCTCTCAAATAAATAAATTTTTAAAAAATTAAAAAAATAATCTAAATGCTCAACAATCCAAATACTCAACCATAGAAAAGTAGTTAAGTAACTTAGGAGACTTCCATACAATTAAATACTATGTGGTCACAAAAAAATCATGGGAATTTAATGATTCAGAAAAATTCCTTAGAGACAATGTTATAAAGAAAAAAAAAACAGGATACAGGACTACAGTATGAGCTGTATGTGAACTTTTATGTTAAAAGGGGTTAGACAAACAAACTTTAAGGAAATACATAAAATCTAGTAGCAGGTATGAGTGGTGGGATTAAGTACAATTTGCATTTCTCTTTATCCTTTTCTACAAGGTTAATGCAAGAGTTAACACAAGCATAATACCAGTTAACAGATAACACACATGAAAAATAATTTTCTTTTTCTCTCCTCTACATAGCTCTTGAAGGCAGAACTAGATCAAAAAGTTTTAGGAACTATGGGGAGAAAATTTTAGTATAATATAAATAGAACCTTCCTTACAGTAAACTAAAAAATGGAAGATAAAACCTCAGAAGAGTGAACACTGTGTTAACTGGAAGCATTCGAGCTTATACTGAAAACCTTTCTAGCTACTCATTCATTCATTCCAATGCCTACCTAGCATCAATTTCATGCAAGATACTTCTGTCCTCACTGGCGATCTTGCAGGCAGCAAGACAAATGAAGTCTCTGCCCCATGGAGCTTACCTTGCAGTGGGGGGAGGGCGACAGCAACATAATGTCACAGGTGATAAATGCTATGAAAATATAAAGTGGGCTAAGGGGAGGGATTGAAGGCAGAGGCAGTGGTTGGCTATTTTTGGAAGAGGTGACCGGGGCAGGTCTCCCCATTTGGAGTAGAGACAGGAACTTAATTAAGCAAGGAAGCCTTATGGATCTTCGGGGTTTGAGAGTTCTAGGTAGAGGACAGAGCTGGAGTAGAAATGCACAGTGAATGAGGGGCAGCCAAGGACCGCAAGAGCAATGGAACCATGAGAGAAGGAAGTCAAGATTAAGATGACTGGTGGGGAGACCAGACAACGAGGGGCTTATCCATGTGACTTGTGTGGCCAACGGGTTATTAGCAGGTATGATGCAATAGGGGCTTGGCAAGTGCTTGTGTGGTTGAGCTTCATCTTTTCTACCTCTGCCACCACTTTGAGAGGACATGCCCCAGCGAGGCCATTGGTTCCAAGAAGTTGAAAGACTCATGGAACGGAGCTGCCCCAGTGGAGCTCAGCTTAGATCAGCTGACCCACAGACCTGAGAGGGGGCCCTGCTAAGATCAGTAGAACTGCCTCATGGAGTGGCTCAGGCCAACCCACAAATATGACAGAATAAATCATTACTGTTTCAAGCCAATGACTCTGGAGTGGTTTGTTGCCCAGCATTATTGTGGCAAAAGCTGACTGATGCAATGCCCAACCTAAACCTAAAAAATAGGAGATGGGTATACTTTTGGTTGGCTTGGGGGTATTCTTGATTATTCCAGAACGATAGAGAGGCCTGACCAGCTCAACAAACCACAGCTGTGAGAGTAATTCCTGGAGTACAGCAGCCTTATCCAGATACTATTCTAACCTGACAGGATAATACTCCATTTCAAGTAAGAGCAATGTAAGTTAATCAACACCATGCTCCAGTTTCTTATTTGTTTCCTTAACTGAGAGACTGTTATCAAAGAGCTTTAGCCAAAGTGCTAAGCTTGCCTCTCTCATCTGCTCTGCTAAAAAGTCTTCCCCAAGTGTTTGCTCGATGCCCCCCTAAGAGACGTTTTACAGAGATAACCAGGGAAGAACAGGGCTCCTCTTCAGCTGAACCACATTACAAGTATTTGGGGCTTCAGGATAAGATGGACCATCGTCAAGCTCACTTTTAAAGTTCTGGGTAACAAAGATCCAGCTGGAGCTCCTGCCACAGTAGGAATGCCCTATAGAACCACTTTGAATAAAGCTTTCCCGAGTCCTGACCTGGGGATACTCGAGACTAGAACAGACTCAATGATTCCCTCAGGATTATACCAACAGAGCACAAATTCCCACAGGGCTTCTACCAAAAGATGTTCTCTCCAATTTCCAAAGTCTTTACATACAAATCTCCTCAACGGAAAAGCTGCAAGCCCTTAAAAGTTGCCTACCATGTCCTTGACGTACTAGAGAACATGCTCTGACAGAATTATGATGTGTATTCAGCCTGCCAACAGCCCTGCACAGCAGAGCTGGGGTCCAGAAGGGGGAAGGAGTCACTGCCGCTCAGCCAGACGTCCTTCCCCTCCTTCCTCCCAGGTCACAGGCCTGGAAGGACGACTGTGTGGTCAGTGGAGAGAGGCATGGCCAGACGTGGGCTGTGAAGTTGGAATAAACCAGGTCCTTATTTACCAGCTGTCTCATCCACTGTCGGCTCTCCAGCCTCTCAGCCCACCACTCTGCTATTCTGAATCCAGAGTGCTGATTCACTTACTTAACTATGAAGCAAGTTCAGAATGGCTGTCAAAATTTGATCATCTGTAACAGCAAAAAAGTCAATGAACCACAGAGAGCAGACAGCTGGGCTTTTAAAGAGCCCCTTGTTTTGACGGCCTCGTCCACTCTCCATCTCCTCATTACCTTCACTGTCTCAGCCATGCTGTAATGTGCACCGAGCTGGGTATAAATAGGTCTAGCTTAGAGGGAAGGCTCCCAGTGTAAAAGGTTAAATCACCCTACATCTATGGAAAACACTCCATTATCACTGCATTTTTTATTAAAGTAAAGATGCTTCCCTACTGTGCACAGAGAGCTATTTGCCCTGGTATTGTATAAATATTTGATGCCGGTCTTTTGGCAAAAGGCCACCTTAACATTCCAAGCTTGTGATTTACAAGAAGGATGTGCAAAAAGGAGATTTGCTCTATTATTCCAAGAAGTAAATTCTGGGGGGCAACCGCTCTTCCCCTGCAGCCTCTGGGACTTAGCGAGCTAAGCTTCGGGCTTATCCTCGTGGTGTTCTCCAAAATCCAGCTAGAAACGTGCACACAGTGACAAGTGGTCAATGTATGTGGTCTAGTTTTGCGGGATGAAATAAAAAGTCACCATTCTCCTTTTAACGAGCTAGACTGGACTATATTGTCCCTACTGGGGTACCCAGCCTAACAGATCTCCTTGGGTCTCTGAGAGCCCCTGTTCCCCATCAGAGGCTGCTTACAGCACCACCCTGGTGCCAGGAATGGTGCGTGCCAACTGTATAACCATAACTGTGCATGCTGTCATACTGACCTGCAACCCCCACCGTAAATGTAATCACTGGTCACCCAATCCCACGTCATGGTGCCATGCTGCTCCCCAACCATACCAAGCCCAATTGACTGACATTATCAAAAGAGTGAGCAGGCCTACTGCCTCCCTCCTCCCGAGCCCTCATGGCTGCTCCTGGCCTGCCTGAGTGACCTAGAGGAGGTATTCCCCCTCTTCAGTTACAGCAAGGTGAGCCTGCAAGTGCAGAGCCATTTGGCCAACCAGACGGGGAAGAAATGCGCTGGTGCAGGGCTTGCTGGTTGTGAGGCATGAGACCAGGCACAGTTGACAGTTTCTCATTGAATCTTTCCCCCAAATCTGCAAGGCGACTCACTCCCTCTTAGTGGGTGAGTGAATGGTAGGCCACAGAAGTTCAATCATGTGTCCAGGTTCAAACGGAACTCAGGGGCCAAACTAGATCTAAAATGTGGTTTGTTTGATTCCAAAGCCTATGCCGTTTCAATCACGGACAGAGATTCACTGAGCTACCACTCTATGCTGGGCGCTGAGGCTCCAGCTGGGGGTCATGATGCCCAGCCCGGGTTCCTAGCCTTGCAGAGTTACCTGACCACTACACCATATCCCACGCTTGGTGTTTCGGGTGGCGTCTTAGTGGAGTCACAGTGAGACTGGCCTTAGGGCTTCAGTTTCGGGTTAAATCTGTGCAGATGGCATGACTTCCTCTATGGGACAAAAAATAAAAACATACTTGGACGTGGATCAGTTGTACATATCAACACAAGAGATCGTGTACAGCAATGAGAAAAAAATGATCTGAAATTACGTGTAAAAATGTGGATGAATCTCACAAATACAGTGAGTGAAAGAAGCCAAACACAAGAAGGGCATTCATTCATATATTCCATTCATATAAAGTTTACAACTCATCTCTGTGGTGTTTCAAGTTGCGACTACGGTCACTCCCAGG